ATACAATTTTGAATAAGATGAAATTTGGATTTAAAGAGAAATGAAATGTTTCAAACTCTGTGAATATTCTTGTTGATTTTCTCTTTCTGATTTCTCACCGTCTGAAAAGCCAAACTTGAACTAAAACCTTAAATTTCTTGCATTACGTTCATTCCAGATATCGTAATTTTTCAACTGAACAACACATTTACATTTTCATGAACTAAACAAATTGAAAATGTTCTAATAATGATCGATCAATTTAATAAATGGGAACGGAATCTTGTGTTCACCTGGGCGGATGACGCATTTCTAACGAAAATTCGTGTGATAAGTAATTGGTAGCAATTTTGGTCGTTGGATTCGATTTTGGAAAAACAAAACAAGTGAAACGTTCACAGTATTAATAAACACCTCTGGTACAAATCGTAATGGATTATCGACATGAATATCAAAATAATCAGTACACCAATTTGTGATTACAGGTGGTACGGTGAACATTTCACAATTTTGTTGGAAAAATATATTCAAAATAAAATTAAATTTTAAAATCGAATTAAATTACCAAAATTGTTTCAAATCACTTATCTCTACACCAATTTTCTTCAGAAATGCGTCATCTGTCCAGGTTGTTCCCAAGGTTTTTTTCCCATTTATTAAATAGATCGATTAGTTTTTAATTTTATGGACTTTATATCCTTCCTCAATAGTTTTTCCTCCAAAGAGAATGCATATTCGCTAACGTTTCACGATACTTTTCTATTGCATGAACAATCGTTACATTCGACTATTCTTTCATCATTTTATCAAGTCAACTAGGTGTCCTAGTTTGAAGTGGTTCGAAAAAAATCAATTTGAATATTAAATGAACGTGTATTAATCCAGTTTTTTTCGTTTCTTTTTCAACCTCACACACAAAGCATTGAGTATGCTGACTATTGAGGCGCTTCTATTCAACAGTGCTGTTTAACATTCGGTGTCAATGCATTTGGTATAGGGAAGAAATGGGAAGAAATACCAGCCCATTTCGTACCAAATACATTGAAAGCGGCTGTTGAACAGCACTGTTGAATAGAAGCGGCTGCATAGCCAGCGTACTCAATGCTCTAATCACAAAGACAATATTGTTTACATATATTTTTCTATTGTTGGTTCAATCCATAAGAATAAAACCAAGTATGATTTCTATTTATTTCCATCTCTATTGTGAGCAAACATTGACTTTTCTTATCATCGCTTATCGAGCGTCTCGGAACGTAGATTGACCGTTGGTGAAAATTTTACACACAAGTTTGACTTGAATAATACTCGATTCGATGATAACGCACAAACACTTGATATCCCGCAAAAAATAACTTCTCGCTTATCAAACACATTTTACATTTAAAAAAAACATTGAACATAGACTGATTCGATTTCACGGTCCATCAAAATGATCACTCAGCTCTATATTTAGCTCTAGTTTTAATCATTCGACTGGTTAGGAACGCGATTAGCTCTGTACATAATTTGTGTATTCAATCAACTTAGTCAATTTCAAGTGCTTGCTTACATACAACTGAGTGACTGTTATTCATTTATTTCTTTCGATATTTGTCATTTCATTAGCACAAGGGACACCTAATGCAAGAAGTCTTTGTATTCAAAAGGTGGTCATTGGTTCAAAGAAAGCTTAAAATGTGTTTATAAAACATAGACAATTGATCGTACGTTAAAATTGACCAGAATTTAATTTTCAGTGAGCATTAGACATTTGATTTGCTGTTATCAAAACCGATGTGATTCCATTCAATCCGAGTCGAAGAAATAACAAGTGTTGATTTGGACTTTGTACAGAGGTGACGTATTTTCATTGAAAATGGTCACGAAAACGCATATTGACTCGAGAGAATTCAGTCGGATAGTTAATATTTTAGCAGTGTTATTGCATTTCCTCCTGATTTTTCTAGGTGTAGTCATATTAGACTACTATCCACTCATCGGTAAGACTTTCAAGTAATCAATTTCAAAACATTTATTTACCATTTTTATGAAAATCATTGAATTTTTCAGCAATAAATTTGTTATTACATATTTGTTACCTTTATGGGAATAGCAAAGTAAGTGTGGAACAATTTCTAAATTGATGATTTTTCGGATTTTTTTTCGTTTGTCGATGCAGCTCTGGAATTATTATTATTCAAAGCGAGATAACATCAATCTAATCAATTTGTTTCATTTCATGCAGCATAAACTTGGATTCATGCTATTACCGTTATTTCTGTGGTTTATCCCCGCTTTTGTCTCAATTGTTTATCTAATTTCTTCGGCCTTCTACCCCGTATTGTACGCCAATTGGTATCTCATTGTGTGCGCATGTCTGTTTCTGGGATTTTTCGTTGCCTGCATTTTGGCAACAGATTCAATTAGCAGAGCTGATACGAGTAATCATTCAAATGACCCACAGTTAAATGTGTGCTATACAGCAGCCAAGCAGTATGTTCAAGACAACTTAATTGCCTAAAAATGTTAACCCATTTATTTACTCAATCATAAATGTCTTTGTCTTAGATATCTTAATTTTGGATTATTTTTACGATTTTTTTTTTTACCAAATATCGCAACCATTCTTCCCTGTGTGTATTGAGAAATAAAAGGAAATTCAACTCATTGATCTGTAATTTTTAATGTGTTTATTGTGTTTCAAGAGTGATTGAAAATTTTGATAAATAAAGTGGTTATATCAGTTGCGTTTCAGATTTGGATTTCAACAATTATTTCCGACTTTTCAGGGTATTTGGAGATTCTATAGCGTCGAATACAGAACACATTTCTACAGTAATATTCCGGTGTGAAATATCGTCATACACAGGTGTGCACCAGAAACGGGTTTCTATAGAAAAAATGGTAATCCTGATGGAAATAGTTGATAGCTGTGAGTTTATGACATGTTGCTCCTATGATATTCCGTGATATTGAAAGATTTACATTCAGAGCATTTGCAAATAATGTGCATCAATAATCATTAGAAGTAATACTCATAAAATATCAGTTTAGTAAATGACAGCAAATTCTTCCAAAATCAATTCCCGAGTTGAAGATCGAAGTTTTTTTTGTTCTGATTTCATATCCTGAATTTTGATGAATCTAGTACTCAGTCATTGTTCTGCATATCATGTAGTAAGTGAGAACAGTCTTCAGGAGCTAGAGAAAAATGGTGGTGTTTTCATGGGCTTTCGAATAGTTAACATGGTAAATTGACATTTTAAATTGATTCAAATTGAGCTTACTCTAGTATAAGTTTCCAAGTTGAGATAGGCGAGCCCAAAACCATGTTAATAAATTGGACGCTATAAATTAGCGATCATGAGAATGCACACTCAATATTATAGCGACATCTATTATTAAAATAGCTTTTAGTAAATGCATTTATAGCATTTCCCTGTAGTTGCGATGTTTCCTATTAAGTTCCCTTGTAGTACTGACACATTCATGTTTGACACTTGTTAACTACATACAACAGGGGAATTTAATAGGTAACATCGCAACTACCGTGAAATGCTATGAATGCGTTTACTACAAGCTATTTTAATAATAGATGTCGCTATAATATTGAGTGTGTGAAGTGCTTTTGCAGCTCAATATTGATTTCACGCCAATTGGACTCAAACAAACAGTCAGACATTTTCACATAGCTTTCGCTGGCCAACTTTCCGAAGAAACAGTAGAAAAAAAGGTTTGAAGCACCAGTTACAAATGCAATGAGAACGAAGCAACCTCTATTACGGAGTTGCTGAAATGATGTAAATCTTCATATACTTAATTACCAATTCTAATTAAAAAATTGTTGCAAGCCAAGAAGACCATGCTACAAATCAATTGAATCACAATGATGGAACTGTAGACACCGATTGGCTCTAAAAACCAACTGAAAATACCACATTTCATTTCGTTGTTCCTAAGACAAGTGTTTTTTTTTTCATTTGATAGTGTGTAAAAATGCTTAAACATAGTTATTAAACTCACTCTTTGACCCTGATATGAAAACGAATGAGCTCGCAGAGCAATTTTGCTAGTTGTTGATTTTTCTGCAAATTACTTGGAATGATCAGAACTACAGGGAGTTAGCAAGATACACGTTATAAGGTTCTTAACTAGCGTGATGAATTTAGCGCATAACAAAGCCTGCTTAGCGCGTTCATGGATGACTTTGGAAATGCTCCTTTTATTGAGTAAAAACGACGCAATTGTTGGTTGTTACAATTGTATTGTGCATTTTATTGAACATCTTTCTTTGGTAATTACAAGAAATACATAGTCACGGTTAAGGTGGATCTCAGCTAGCAATGACATTACTCACCACTGTAAGTGCGGTAAAATATCGCTTCAGGAGCCTGAGTTAGCAAATTCAGCTCAGCTAAGGCCTATTCAGTAACAAATATGCAGTCTCTGACTGTTTAATATCCACATGGAGCGTAATGAATTGGCACAGTTTTTCTCTGAGCTGCTTGTCATTTCATTCGGACTTGGTGATTTCGCCCAGGTTATTTATCTCTGCTTTGAACAGAAATTGCTTTGATTGCAACTTTCAGTTAGCAAGAAACGAATTTGTAAATGTCAACGACTTAAAGTTTAACCAAAATTCGAAAATTCGAATCGTTTGAATTAAATGCTGAAAATTGAAAATACGTAGCAATTGTCTGTCTGCAGACTCTGCTCTGAATTCTATCGTGCGTATATATGAGTCGGATCAAATAATAATTGGTTGAACCTAGTAGCAGCGCATTAAACTAATTAGTTTACAGCGGATTCAAAAGAGTGTGGCAAATATTCTCTGCTATGTATTGTTCTCAATGAAATAATTTAATAATTGAACAGATGTAATAGTCAACACTTTTGAATGACGCACGATTCATAGCACAGAATACATTTGTTGTAGACTCCTTTGAAATCGCAGTGAAATATCACACTGCTACAACCGTAAAAATCAACTTTATCAATGTGTACGAGCTGCATATTTTGAAAAAACATGTTTGCATGAGGGAGAGAGATCTGTCTCATAAATACAAAACAAAAATGACAAGAAGACATCAATTAGGCATGTCTGACATTCATTCGAGTTCGCACCAATTGGCGATTGTCATGATCGACGTACCTAGTCATCGCATTCACTCAAACACTCTTGAATATCTCACGCAGTTATAATCTGTCGCTGGAATGAGAAGCTTGTCGCATTGGCTTGGTCGTGACTAAATCGAAGTGCTTTTTCTTCTTGTTCAAAGTTTTTGGTGAGGGAATATCAAGATTTTTTTTTTTAGTTTAAGTTGAAGAGGAATAATTTGATCACCAAATTATGGACGTCAAAAAAATGTTCATTTTTACGGAGAAAAAAACTCAAATTTTCATCGAAGAATCATAGGTTCTTGTGTTTCCAGGGATTGTTCGATCGTACTTCATGTGGTTTAGTGTTCTCCTTCAACCTTTTTAACCATAAATAGTTGAAATTGGAATGACGTTTCGAACGCGATATCACTTCTTTCTTCTTCAGTTTAAAGCATTTAGGGTGATGATCGAAAATCAAAACTTGGACAAGATTTCACTTGTTTTTTGGACGTATTTAGTTTTATCCTTTTTCAAACTTCCCTAAGACTTTCGACTAAGGAAGAACGAAATGATAAGTGATAGTACGTCAAAAATATCATTCATTCACTGCTATGGTTTACAACTTCTATATTAAATATTTGCTAAAGAGCACTTTTGACCTTTATTAACCCAAGAGTTGAATCATTACAGTTTGCGCAAGTTATACTCAATCGTATTGGCACCATGTAAAGAGTGTGACTATGTTTTTTTCATTGCAAAGCCCGTTACTTCAGTTGCCTAATTACAGTTAATGGTCTAACTTCAATTAATTAATTAGAGGAGTCACAGAATGTATTTTGAATGCGAAATCGCGACCGACGAATATGAATTCAGTGACATGTTGACACAATGTTCACCTATTGGCAACCAATCACCCACGCATTTGCACAATTTCTCATAACCATGCTGCCGGTCTGATTGAATCATATACATCATTTTTTTTAAGTCAAATGTCAGAGTTTGAGTTTATGTATTTTTTTTTCGTTTATTTTATTGAAATATCGTAAACCATCCAAATTGTAACATAGTCTTAAAATAAACCACTTTTCTGAAAATATCCATATCGGAAGTTTTTTTCGTGATCTTCTCAAATATGATATAAAAAACAACAGTTACCCTTCAAAGTTTTGCAGAAAATTAGTCTATTGGTTCAATTGTTACAATTTGGATGGTTTACAATAGTTTTAAATTGACCGAAAAATTGCAGAAGTGTGTTAAAAATGAACGGTTGCCGATCTGGAGTTCGAGTCGTTGGACTGGTGATTGGATTGTGGTGCCTCCTTTCAAGTGTTTTCTTTAGCTTTATCTTCACCTTCCGAGCTGATGCCTGGCAAATTTTCGGCAAATTAATGCTTCCCATCATCATAATACTCGGTATGTTTTGTGACAAATGTTCCAAATTGGAAATGAATAGAATATTCACGTGCACACAATGATAATTTTGAAACTACTTGATGAATATATGTCATGAATTTCATTGCAGTATTCAACATTTTTGCTTGCCTTTCGTGGATCTATGGCTGTTGTATAGTACGTACATTTAGACAGTTACCTACACATAGAGAGTTTCAATGATGAAGTAATAAGTTGAATTGCTGTTTGAAAAAGCTCGCACAGAGTTGTTGAATTGATGAATATAAAATTGGAGTTAATTAACTATCAATTCGACATGATTCTCTTATCCCAAAGCAAAAATTGCTTATCCAAAGTTAACAAAATCATTTCTCATTCGTTTGCATTTTCAGATGAAGACGCGATTCATGCTTGGCAGTCTAGTCTACTGGGTCATCATTTTATTTTACAGCATCCGTTTTATATGGCATCCAATTCGACGAAATGCAATCAACACCGGCGATAACATCCATTATTTCAACACAGAAGAAGACGATCTGACGGTTCGCTTTGAAATGACAATGACCAAACCGTACTTTCTTACTCTATTTTCTGGGTTATTCATAAGTTTTTATGTCGTTGCTATATTAATTTACATGTATATGCTCGGTACTCGGCCCAATACTGGAAGTATTGACGATCCACGATTCAACGTTCAACGCGTGTTCATGAATCCATCGGTGAATTTGGAAAAGGGAGACATTGAGAAAAATTGATTCCGAAATTGGGAATTTTCTATTTAAACTGAGCTCCCGAGGGAGATGCATGCAAAATATGAATCTTATTCCGCTTTTATACCTTAAAAATGAATCAACATTATTGAGCAAAGATAGAAAAAAGAAGAAAAAACAAGAAATTTAATGTAATTCAGTATAAAAATGGCGAATAAATTATATTCTTTGATACTTTTTTCATACATTGTACGAAAAATCGTTTCATTTTCCGTTTGCTGAACCGGAAACTCATAAAGAAAATATAAATATTTCATCCAAACTTGATTTTTTTTGCTCAAAATTTCATTTTTTACCATCAACTCAAGCACAAATTCGATGTACAATCCATGTGTTGAGTTGGATTATTGTGAAACAATGCGACTTTAGAGCGTTGGCCCATGTGAAAGATTCACATAGTCAAACGCAAGCATCACTTCGTACGTGTGAGGTCGTACATTGGACGCTGAGTGTCGAAATCCGATGGTATCGGATGCCAGTACGCATTTTGGCATATCTATTACGCAGGATGGAGAGGAAAGTTTGTTTAAGATATATGTTGACACGTCCATGGTTGTTCACTGTTCAGTCGCCGTTATTTCATTCCCGTTGTCTCACTCGGTCGTTGAGTCATCTTATATATTCGCACAATTTTTTGTGTGGTTCTATTTGCTGTGGCTGACGACATAGTACTCCGTCAGCGGCGATGAAACAGACAGTGAGATTTTCACCACTCGCCATCCGATTTGCATTCATTTATAAGTACGTACAAACGCAGTGCTCGTCACTTAATCTCGGCATTTTAACTAAAGACCTCTTTTCATAGATTTTTCTCTTCAAAATTGATAACATTTCAACAAGTCCGTAAACGGTAATAAACTTATTTTAAACTTTTTTCATTGCCATTTCTTTTTGTTTTCTTTGTTCCTTTTTAAAATTTTGGTTCGAAACGCAATATTTTTTTGGTTCTATTCAAAAATTTCTTTTTGAACCCATAAGAATTTTTGTATGAATTTTTTTTAGCTAAAACTCCAATGGACTTATTCCACTGAAAACGCCCATTCGATCCAATCGCTTTGAATCGAAGAAATGGTGGAAAGCTCTGACTGGCGTATTTGTCGAGGTGTGGCATTAGCAATCTTTTGGCTGCACATATTTGTGAATTTAGGCCTTGTTTACATCATTTTTGTGTATCCCGGACAATTTGGCCGAAATCTTCATGAAACAATCATTCCGATTCTACCAGCTATCAACTTTTTAGGCTGCCTTTTGTGGATTATTGGGATAGTAAGGGTAAGTACATTTTCGGTCAAAACCAATACACATTTGTGTCGGTTCACATTTTGAATCCTTTTATTTTCTCTCGCAAACGATGTATTTCTCTTAAAAGAACGAGGAATAAAATTTTCATCTTTTTGAGAAAACGCCATTTGAGAGAGAAGAATTTTTTTCCTTTTGTTCATAAAAATTTTCTCTTCTACTCAACAGATCAATTTCTTACTCATGGCAATATCGTTAGTTTTTTCGGGCGTGAATTTAGGTTTGATCTTTGTTTGTGTGTATTCCAGCACCTTGGAATACAAAAATGACAAACAGAAATCGTCTCTGGTTTCGATTTATTTCTTCGTTCCAACAGGTATTTCATTCAATTTCGGTAAGTGGAGTTGAAATTCGAGACTTATGTTTTTCTCTCTTTTCTTTCAGTATATTTCCTCGTATCATATTATGTGTCAGTGGTTTGCTTCACAATAATGAAAAAGACGGCGCCAACAAAGGGCAAGCGTACCATGGTGTAGTGTTTAGGAATTTGGATGAAGAAGATAGCCGAAAATTACAAGAATTTTGCGCAAAGATGGGACAAAAATATTAATATCTTTTCCCAGGAAAGCTTTACATCCCGCATATAATCAAGAGTTTTGGTACATTTTTCACAAAACATTTTAAAACACTCAACACTTAGGGTGGTCAATTATTTGGGGTGCAAGAAAACGTTTTTAAAAAGTCAACAGAAATGGATTTCTAACACAATTTTTTGAATAACACCACTGAATCCAATGATAAAATTTGCCTATGTTTTTATATGGAGCACATGTTTATGCTATATTTAAGCGACATCTTGACGGTACACGCTGAACTATGAAACTTCTTTATAAATATACTGCCAACTATCAATGACAGCAACAATAGAACGTATTTGTATTGCAAAATACTTCCACCTTGCAGATGGCGCCAAACCAAACGTCATTCTATTCATTTTTCTCATTGCTGAATCCAGTGGAATAAAATGACAAAAGTTGATTAAAATTCAAAATGAAAAATATTTCAAAGAAAAATCGAAAAGAAGTGATAAATTTTGATTGAATAACTTAGAAATTATAGATCCAAAATGCTGAAAATCGAAATGATGAAAAACCACAAAAGTGCTTTAAGTTGCCAATTCATTTACTAGAGACCGTCACACTCCAAGAGAGTCTCTATTATTAGCCTAGAATATGAATTATAAATATTTTTATTGTCTCTAGTCTATTGACTATCTAGTCGACAAAATACAATTCGATGGAGAATCTCAATTTGAGATTGCGAGACTCTCTCTCTCTACTCAAACGTTGCTTATGTCATTTCTAATGAAACTTTTTTGATAAACTATTATATTACAAAACGAATAAAATAAAGTTCGGTTATGAAGTGCCGAAATGTAAAACCACAATTATTTCTGTCCAAATTCATTACACATATGCTCGTTAGCTAGCCAAACCTAAGCGGTAATACATAATAGCAATTGTTGCAACTGATCTAATTTAATACCCATTCCAACTTTGACACCGATGACGTCTGCCTCATTATATGGTTTAGCACTTAAATTCATCTGGATTTGTGTTGCTTAGACCATAAGCATATGACGTAGGTCGCATGTTACATTGGGTGCGCTTCAAAACCATTCGCCGGCACTGAATGTTTACTATTCTTCATACACACATATAGCCAAGCCCGACTGACGCCAATATTTCTCCGTCGCAGCACACCATTGGTCGTACATAGCGACACATCGCTTTTTTCATCCATCTCGGGTGAGCGTTCTGTTTTTTCTTTTAGTTGGAGAATAGTTTCTTCTATTCGTTCTGTTCTTTCGCTTGAGTAAGTTATCACTCTTGGTTTTTTTTTGTGTGTTTTTTTCTGCATATTTTTGCTTAACTTCGCAATTTTTCAAATTCCAAGGATTTATCAAGTGGCTTGTTGAAGTCAAAAGGAGCTTTAAATAGGTAAAAAGTTCGGTGAAGTGAGTGAAAACATTCAAATTAGCTTCGAAACGAAGTATTTTCGAAGCAATTGATGTGAAATTTGGAAATTGTGTGCCTAAAAAGATACATGAAAAGCAATTTCTTTAGCAAAAAAACGCAATTTTTCATTTAAAAAAAGTGAATTTCATTCATTTTCCTGAAAATATTTCTTAAAACGCACAAAATTCATCAAGTTTTATATGAGATTTATTAAAACCATTTATGTTTTCATTAAAGAAATTATTCAAAGAAGCCAAAAACGAGTGAAAAACGTATTTTCCATGCAAATAGAGCAAGTATCTTGAGGAAACTAGCTTCACTTATAAACCAACGTAATTTCCCGTCGTTTCAAAGCATTGAATCATTCATGAGCACAAAATCTGGGGTCGTTTTGGCACCACGTCAATTCATTGCAGCAATATTGACATTCCTTGTAATGGAAAGAACGGCGTCTAAAATCAAACGAAAGAGCACATGAAAGTTTATGTGTTTCATCAGTTCTAGTAAACTGTTTACTATTTTCCATGTGGTGTGCACTGAGCACACCCACACATTTCTCCTTCATTTCGTAAGAAATCACACATGCTGCGTTGAATAACATCTTCTGAATATTCAAACGGAATGATATCGTTGAATATTCAAGGGCTTTAAGTAAAAAGCAAAAGAAAATGAACTAATTTAAATCATATATTTTTAGGTTACATTCAACGAATGGTTTGTACAACAAATAACAGACTCAGTTCACAACATAACTTGCGTTGATTCCATCAATTTGAGCTGTACAAAATGCCTTGTAGAGTCAACAATGTAGAATTAGGTCGATTCAATTGACGCAGAGAGAAGTGCCATTTGGAATATTCCAAGCCTTGAAGTAGAAACAGAGACTGACTCTGTATGGCCGTCAGACTGTGTGTCTTTCCCCAAGCTGTTTGCTCATTTGTCTACTCATTAAAATTTCCCATTCCAAATGATTGCTGATGCGAAAAACAATTGAGTGTGTGCAAAAACTGTGAAAAATTGCCTTTAACTTTGATTGCATCGATTTTCAATTGTTTCACATGTTGGAAGTAATACTTAATGGCCGATGTTAATGAGCAGATAATTTCGAAGTTATCAATTTTAACTGCAAAGCTGTGATTAATAGCTTGTGAAGAAGAATCTATTTATAAGTTCTATTTATTCAATTGAAAACTCACTGAAACCCATTTCATTTCAGTTATAGTTTGAACACCATAGACAATGGACGAGGAACAACAGTCTTGCTGTTGCGGTTGGAGATTTTGTCGAATTGTTGGTCTAACCATTGGTTGGCTTGGTGTTATCTTATCGTTTATCCTGATTTATGCTCTGTGTAAGCATCCGGGATTGTTTGGAAAAAGTGTGCATGAAAGTATCATCCCATTCTTGCCAGCATTAAATCTTGTATCTTCGTATAGTTGGATATTCGGGATTGATAGGGTAAATATCCCAAAGAGCGCAATACTGTTCTCATATTGAGTGTCTGTACACTGTACAGTGTAGACTCGTCAAACACCGTACAGACAAGCAATAACTAACAAATTCGTACATTTCAGAACAAACTGGAGTTTGCACTAGGTAATGATTTAACTTTGAATTCATTTGCAATACTTGACCATTGTGTCTAAGCCGTGTGTTTTTTTTTTCTTCTTCTAGCAAGTTTAATTTGGTGGGGCACGAACTTGTCTCTTGTGTTCGTGTGTATGATCTCTTATTTCTTTGCTGACCATGGAGACAAGCCAAGATCCCACGTACGAGAAATGTACTTCTTATTGGCGATTGGTAAAGAAACAAAAATGACAAATTGCCAACAGCCTACGAGAGAAACTACTGACCTCATTGTCTTTTCGTATCTATTTCAGATTATTGGGTGTGTTCATATGTCATTGCGTTATTTTGCTATAAATCGATGAAACGCGTCCATAAAAATCCAGAAGTCACCGTTTAAATCAAGTATACGGACAATAATTGTCATGTTTTGGACTAACTGCTATGGAATATGATGTTTTTAATGCATTTTTCAAGTGATTCTAAAATTGATTGACTTTTTATCTTGATAAATTGAATTTATTGACAATTTGACCATCAAATTTTGATGTTATCATAAGATTTTTTGGACTTTCTAAGAAAATATGAATTCGATTTGGATTTAAATCATTAAAAAAATACATACCCTCAAATATTGGATGAGAAATATTTTCTCGGAACTTCTAATTGGAATAACCGTAAATAAATGGAAAAATGATAAATAAAAACGTATGAAAAAAGATTGAAAAAGAATCAAGCGTGTGATTCACAGAGATTTTATAAACGAAATCAGGTTGTAATGGTTATCAAACTCACCTTATCATCTGTTATTGATAGACATAGAATTGTGCTTCTGCTTGCTATTGGCTAAGGTGTATTGCTTTCTTGATTCCGTTTAAATTCTTCAATTCTCATTTTACCCACCTAAAAATAAACTTTAATCCAAGTTCAATGTTAAATCCGATGGTTTTGAGTGGATTGCAAAATAATCTTATCGTGTGTCACATTTATCGATTCAAAGCTATCGCTTTTTAATTGCTTATCAATGACGAATTTGTGAAATCGCCTTTAAATTTATTAGTCTTCAAATTGTGTACGATTGAATCCAACGTGATTCCATCCATTTTGTCGCTAGACTGTAAATAATTTTATGTAACTGAAATTGATTTAAAATGGAAAACACCAATCAAAACGTCTACAGAGAACTTGATGAAAATGTTAAATCGTTTGAAGAGAGTTCTTCGAAATCGTATGGTAAAATAGTGGGCTTTGTTGGAATTCTATTCAACATATTTGTCTTAATTATTCTTTTTACCTATGGAGCCACCATCTGGGGTGTCATATTCAGTGTTAGTTTTTGGATTTTCGGTAAGTTTACCCAACAAAGAGCGAAATGAATCTGGTGAGAATGAACTGGACAACAAAAATGTTCGCCTTTATTAAACTATTTCCAAACAAATGACAATGAAGACTAATGAAGAATTTGAGAATTCCTATTTCTTCATTCAATCAAATAACAATAATAGTGAAAAAAGAGGAAAATTACAAGTTCAAAGTTTTTAAATCGTTTTTCACTTTTAAATCGTTTCAGCCGCAAGTTGTGTATTGTCGGTCGTTTGGATCTTTGCAATAGTTTTTGTAAGTATATTCAAGTTCAAATTCAAGTTTTTGATGCGTAATTCATTACTTTTCACTACATTTATTAACTCATTTTCTTTCGCGTATTTTTTTTCTCAATAGAACATATTCTGGTGTATGGTGATGACACTCGTTTTTTATATCATTCAATTCTGTTATTGCATTTATTTAGCGGTTGTTTACGTGTTGGCTATGTAATTTAACACTAGAATTTCTTTTTTACTCAACACAAATTAACTGACGCTTTAATTACACAGAATAGCCGGCGGTGTTGGTATCGGTGATGGTGCGTTGCTCATATTTATATTTGTTTTGGGTCTTTCTGCGACAGGTAATGACATTTTCAATTGTCAAACTGATGAAAGCAATTAATTAATTTTCATGTATTTTTTACATTTTTTGTAATGATATCTAGGTCTCAGGTGAGTTCGCTATTCTTAACTGCTTCGTAAGTTGGTTTTTCTTGCTGACTCGAATGTCGTCCCGCACAATTTTTCTCCTTTTAGTGGCGTTTATTTCTATTATGCTGTCAAAAGCTTCGTCAAAATCAGTTTTACGAAGAAGGAGACTAGGATGAAAGTATCTTATACGGTGGCTTCGGCCCAACATCCCGGACAAACCGACCACTATACATTCGAAGAAATAGCCGAAACGATATGAGATTTTAAGCAACAGCCGTAGCACAGCTGTATTCACGTACATCACATGCCTTTAAAAGGCGACTGAAATCAGTTGATTTCTTCACAAATGAATGAAAACCCATTTCAAATATGCAAAGTATGAATAAACAAAGCGTGTTATACGATAAGAAAATACTACTGTTTAAGTGAATGTTATCGTGACAATAGTGAAGATATAAGATATAAGCCTATATGATAAATTGCTTCATAACATCTTTGCGCGCAGTATTGCTGCAGCTGTTGACGAATAGACACGAGGATTGTAGTTCAAGTGTTTGAAATTCGAACTTTGAATGTATATTTTGAAATTTATTTGAATAAATTCGATTTTATTTAAAGAATTAAAGAAAAAGAACGAAAATTTCAAGCGTTTTTTTTTTCATTATTTGGGTTTTTTAAACACCACATCTTTTGAGCCCAGTTTTGAAGTGTAATATGATTTTTTTCTGATACAAAACATTTTTTTCTGATTTTTTTTTTTGTGCATTTTTTTTCACTTTAATTTCTGTTGTTCAATTTCATGAATAAAAGGACAATGTGGACTGAAATATACGTTCTGTGTGTTTTCAGCTATTTTTGCAGTTGGGAGATCGCTTCACTGCGTTTGAGAAGTGAATCCAGCGGTTTATCTTATCAATGATACTATTATCTTCGCGTCTGATGTTCAATTTCTTATCTTCAGTAGTCAAAATTTAAAAGTGTCTACAAAACAAAAAACAACTCGCGCGCTCCCTTATTTACAAGTGTTATTTTGCAATGGCAAAGGCTAGTGAGTGGAAGTTTTGTAGGTAAAATTTGAATTTCAATCTAATTCGATTTTTTTCAATCTGATTTGATTGACGAATGATTAAATTGATGAATTGTAAAATTGTAGCAAAGAGATTGGATGGCTTGGGATTGCATTGAATGCATTTTGTTTATTCTTATTCCGAGGGATTACAGACAACATCTTGGCTTATGCTACAATCTGCACGTTTGGTAAGCATTGCTACATGATCAGAGCCTGACTAGTAAGAAGAAAAGAAGAAGAAAATTTACTCATAACTGCTATAATTTCAGTGCTAAATATTGCAGCAAGTATAACTTGGTTACTAGGAATCGCTTTGGTTAGTAATTTTCTACCTTATAATTTCGAAACGGAAGGGAAAACACGACAAATTCAGAAAAACTCTTTCGATTTCCTCCTTTTCTTTCGAAGAAAGGGCAAAAAAGTTTTGAAGACTAAAATCCACATTCGCATGAGATAATTGATAAAATCATCGCAAACAATTAAATGTCTTTGCATTCTCTTTTCAACAGAATAAACCTGATCTTATGGCCAGTGCATTAGTTTGCTGGGGTGGCGTTCTTTTCATTTGGATCAGCTTCATAATCATTCTTGCTGTGCCTGGGTGATTTCCAAATTTGCTTATAACTGAAAATGAACTTCAAACCATGTTCAAATATCTTAATTTGTTTAACCGACAGGCTCATTTTCGGGAATGAATATGCTCGCGAGACTGTTCTTTCGATCCTTTCGATCGGATTTTTCTTGATAAGTAAATTTTTTCCTTTCTTCTATTGATAAATTTATATGATTTATAACAGCATATAATCAGGTTTAATCCAAATTTTGGTTGAATTATTTTCTTTTCGGCATTTTTAGTTTTCACCGTCATCTACTTTTATTATGCTGTAAAGAGTTATAAAAAGCTAAAGGAGGTTATTGAAAGAAAACGATTAAATGTTGCGTACACAGTGACATCCACTGAAAATAATGAGATTAATATCAATTATCGGGATCTTGAATTGGACCAAAGTGAATGAGACGAGCGAGTTATTTTCATTTATTCAATGGCTTAATGGATAAGGACACTGGATAGTCACAATGTTATAAACAACAAGCAATTCTTTTAAGCATTGAACGATTTAGTGGTGTCAATGATAATACGCACACAAAAATATTTGTGCATAGATTAAAATAAATGTGTAAGGAATCTCAAGATACAAACTCACGAAATGGTATTTAAAAGAAATAAATTGCTGAATAATGTTTGTTTCCTGAAGAAGAAGAAACGCAATGGTTTTTTTTTCCCTTTAAGGTTGTTGGTTATAATTTGAAGTTTTAAATACGAACATAATCGATGGAGTAAGATTCATTTGAAATGTTGCTTAAACATCGATTAAACTTTAGGAATTTTCAAAAATTGTTTTTGCTTTTTAATATTTTGCACACGATAATACGTCTATGTTGAATATTCTCTATTTGGGGTTTTCTAATGCATCCTAGTGGCGAAGCGTTACGATTCCGCGTAGTACTACGTTCACTAATTCCCTAAACGTAGTGGTTCGTAGTGGTACGCGTAGTCGTAACGCTTCGCCACTATGTAATGCATCACTTCGACGATATGGCAATCTAAAATCGTATTTCGGTTGTGACCTCTGACAACATGTCGTTTTGTAATCAACACAGAAGCACGTTATATCATTCTCGTTTTGGAAATTCCAACAAGTTATCTGTTAAAGCTACCAATCATCTAGTCAAGCGACAAATTAAAAGCTGCCAGCAAATAGCATTTAAAGCTGACTAGAAAATATTCAAGTGTGATACAACATTTGTGAAAAGAGTGAACAATTTGAATCAATTGCATTTGACAAAGAGAGAAATAGCAAAGAGAGAAGTGAGCATAAAAAAATATTTCTAAAAAAGCTCCAGAGCAATTCGTGACATTTGAAAAAGTTATACAAAGAGAAATTGAAATGGAGATTGGTCGGTCGGAAGGCTGTTGTAATTGGAGAATCATCGGATATGTACTAGGTGGTATATGGTTAACAATAGGAGTAGCTGATCTCCTTTGCGTGTCAAAAATAAATTCTTGGAATCTTTTCACAATTGGTGAGTGAAGGCTGGTGATCATGCGAAAAATGTCTTCGTCAAACAAATAGTTAGTTTGATACAGCAAAGCCGTCAAAGGATTCACTTAAAAAAAAAAACAATTTAATTTTCTACTTTTTCAGCCTTTGACTTGACGACAGCGGTGCTTTGGCTGTATGGATTGGCTAATGTAATGATATTTTAAGAAAAGATAAGAAAAGTCATTTATGACTTCGATCATTCAATGACAAAGAAGAGAAAAGATCGTATTCAAATTTCAGCTAATTTATTGTGAATATTTCTTTAGAACAAAACCATATTGATGCTGATTTCACTGGTTTTTTCGGTCTTTCAAGCTGTTTTTGGGCTATTCACGTTAATTGGATTAGGAATAATTGCTGCAGTTCATATCGACAAAAGCGCTGATGACGAAGAATTGTTTGGTATATACTGTATTCTTGTGCTATTGATGATTGTAGCAGGTAATTTAATATCAGAATAGCTGTATTCACTTCTTTCATTCAATGAAAATATTCAATATCTAAATCAAAACAAGATGAATATTGTAAAAATCTGTTAAAAAGGGATTTTTATGTCAAAATATTTCTATTTTTTTTTCACTCTCAAAATTTATTTGCAGTTCTCATCGTGTTTGATTTCATCTTAGCTGTTATATGTTACATAAAAATAAAAAAGGACATTCAACGATTGACAATTCCTGTCTTTAACGTGACGTATGCAGCTCCAACTGCCATGAAGTGTTGAATAGGCTGGATTCGCTTAGAATGCACGAAAAAAAAAATTAAATAATTTTAAATTCAAACTGAAATTATTGTTATCTTGTTCATGTTTTTTTCTTTTCATTGAAGTAAAATCCTTATCGACGCGATAATTCAGTGCTAAAAACTTGTTTTGGCAATTTCGGAGCGATGCAATGACGCTATCTCAAACTCGAAATTAAATTATTTTTCGCTTTATTTTTAATCGTTCCTCTGCTGTAGACGAATCGTCGTTGATCATTCTCCTTTGATTTCATTCCGAATTCGAAGCAAATGTTTTTTTTTTCAACTTTTTCCGTCTCAAGTCATAGGTCATAAAAACGATCTGCTTTCAAACTTTTCGTTCAGCATCTCAGAACGCATGAGGAATGTGTCGAGATAATTCCGAGATTGTGCCAATTGATCATGATCATCTTGCAATCATCATTTTATTTCACATTACATCGGCTTTGAGTGACAACCGACAAGTCAATTCAAACACATTTTTTCGGCAATCATAAATATGACTTAGCTTATTCAATCTATATTCAATTTACAGAGTCTCGTCAAACAGAGTCAGATAGTCTTCGAACAGCATTCAAAATGGAATGTTATTCGCACAGTGTTCATTTAGTTAAAGGCAAAGTGATAGGCTGGATTTGTTTAATACTGAATTTACTTTTCCTATGCATTTTCGCATTTTTTGGCAGAAAGGATGATATTTATGAAGATTTATTGCAGGAATATATTGGTCAGTTGTATACTGTGATAAATTGCTGAATGTTCTATCAATTTGACGAATTTTGCTATTTTTTAAATTATTTTTTTGAATTTTTCCAGTTATAAACATATTAGTGTCCCTTATTTGGCTGATTGGGATCAAATTAGTAAGTAAAACACAGATAAATTCTTTGAAAAACCATTTGAAAGGACATAACAAAAGAGCATCAATCATCCATGAACTGGATTACAACAAAATTTTGTCCTATTTTTGCGTCCAAATATTATTCTTAATTGATACTTTTCGTTTCGTCAATAGCAACGTTTGGGATTTTTGCTCACGGCATTAGTTTTGTGGACCATTCCACTGGCATCTTTGACCGTTTTGATAGCCTTATCATTCTTCAGATCTCTATTGGATATAAAAGCCGGATTGAATGACTATAATTCTATTACTCCTAATTGTCTTTCTGCTGCACCTGATTGTCTGAATACACTTATGTGCTTTTGGCATTTGATCATCTATTCATGTAAGGATCGACGAAAATTATTGATCAAATTCCGGTTTCTTTTTATTTTGTATGACTTTTAATTTATTATCCTTCGTGTGATTGTTTCTATTTGTTTATTTATATTTTTTATTTTCTAATTTGTTTGCTCACAGTATGCGGCTGGATCTATTTATTTTACGCTCTGCAGAGTTACCGGAACATAAACAGATTCATCCATTGTAAATATGACACTCCTGCGATGAATTTCCTACACACGGAAGCTCCAGGCAAAATTACTCGAATTGATATTTAATTCAGATGACTTGGATTTGATTTGAAGTTCTTATATGGTCTTATGAAGATTGAAAAAAAACATTGATTGAGAGTGAAATCACGTTGAAGAATGAATTTTGTTTAAGTGCCTTGAAATTTTTTGCAACTTGTGTGATATATTTTCAAATAAATAGTCCAAGTGAATTTGGATGATATTTTATTTTTTTTCGATATTTTTTTCTTCTTCAAAGGTTTACTTGAAATGGTATTAGAAATAATTTTGAAAAAAAAGTTTAAGTTCAAGTTCATGGAAGATGAATCATCTTACAAGATTTGAATACCCATCTAAATTATTATCACTTCACCCAAACTAACTGCCGCCGTACTTACATTGCGTTAGAGAATACGCAAAGCAAATGCGATCGCCACAATATAATTGGACGTTAGACACATAAATATATTGCCGGAATATCAAAAGACAGCCAATGACATCTCTGAACCAACTCATTGAATCATCGAATATTTCGAGCAACTTTTTTCAAACGTGTGTGGCTTGAGTTGAATATAATTATAACTTTACGGCGACACTAGCAGCTTCTCTGCACACACATCGTAGAAGAGAGTACAAAAATCATAGTATTTCGGCAAATGCATCGAGTAACCATTGCGAAACATCAATACGTTTTGGCTAACGCGTAGTACCGGCCCACAGAGAAGCTGTTAGCGTCGTCGTAAAGTTGATTATATTCTAGTAAAGCCATACACGTTTGAAAAAAGTTGCCGAAAAATTCAATGATTCAATGAGTTGGAATTGAGATGGCATTGACTGCTATGTGTCAAATGACTTACATTTGAAATGTATTGTGGCACTATATCTATGGTTAGACAATGTTAAGTTGACTAAATATGAACGCAAAGCACATGATTGCTCGTATTATTTGACCTTCATTAGGTGTGTGTATTAGGGGTGGTCGAGAGTCCATTGCGATTTTATAGTCGATAGATCCTTAAAATCACAAGAAACTGCCATTTTTGTTCGATTTTTTTAATATTTTGACCTAGTACATGTTGGTAGACACCATTTATTTGCTTGAAAATGATCAAATCGGAGCTAAATTTTCACGAAATTTTCACATCTGGTCAGATCGCTATCGTAGCACGGCGATTTCACCTTCGAATTTGATAAAATATCTGAAAAAATCGCCAAAAAGTCGACATTTGCATAGAAACAGTTCTGAACACCTCGGGAAAATTCATTTTTTGAAACGTCTGATCACGTTTTTTTGCTTAATTTTTGACGGCAAGTCGATTCTGGGTTTCATTTTATACAGTTTTACATGGATTTAGGGCCGAAAAATATGAATGTTTCACAAAAAATGAGCAAAATACGCACATGAGCTTTGGTTTGACGGATAAATTACCTCATTAAGCAAACAATTTCTACTTTCCGTGCCTTCAAACCTCTAGTATAAGTCCATACGAACATTTTTATACTTACCTGATCAGTTTGAGAGATGTTTTCATTTATTCATAGCCTCATATTCAATTGGTTCAATTTCAACTCTAGAAAAATCGACTTTTGGCCAATAAGTCTCCAAATATGGACTTTTTGAGGTTGGTGTCTTGGTAAAAAGTTATTTTTTCTCAAAAATAATGGGAGTCTTATCAGACAAAAAACCTTTGAATTGGTTTTTGAGGTACCTCCCGAACAAAAAATGATAATTTTATACCAAAATCCAGAAAAATTGTCACTATCCATTCGAATTCCAGCTGCCAACTAACTTATCATCGTCGATGAAAGGCACTTTTGGGTACATCAAATACACGGCCACGGTAGTGCTTGAATATCCAATGTGGCTTAGTAAAAAATTCGTCAATCCATTCACCGTAATTAAGATAATCAACTTGAATGATGATCCCAGGCTGCGGGTATGTTTTCCTATGATCTTATCTCACATTTTTATTCATTTTCCCTTACTTTCAGTCGCTTTTCAGTTTTTTCAGAAGAATTCAAGAACTCTCGTCGCCTAAATTTTATTTTCCATCGACTGATCGCTTGTCTACCGCTTGTTTTTCCTTCGAGTTTTTCTGAGAGTAAATTTTAATTTGTTTCCACAGTAATCAATCTGTAAAGAATTGCATAAAACCATCTTTACTTGTTGTAACTTTGGAACCGATACATTGGACGTCCTTGTTCGTGCTCCAGTTCGCGGATACACTCCAGGCCAATTTGTTAATTTGGAAATTATGGTGAAAAATCGATGCGGTCAAGCGGTGTCTTACTTTGAAGTGGCATTGATATAAGTAAGTTATACTATTAAGTAATGAATCATATGAAGTCAAATTCATTTTAACGAATGAAAAAAAAAACTTTCAACTCAAAATTAAAATCGCATTTATGATACGAAAGGTTAATTAAATTTGAACTTTCAATTTAGCAAATCACCTACTTATCAGTAGTTGCACTGCCCTAGATGGTAGTGCATATAAACGATATGAAGAAGTGCCGCAAGTTCACGGAAAATCAATTGACGGTTGTTTTTCCCAGAAAGATCAGAATCTTTTTTTGAATTTCCAAGTGCCGTCTCTTTCGCCGACTGAATCGAGCAAACTTGTTCATATCGAGTATTCAATTCATGTAAGTGATAATCGCTAATCATCTGTTCTCAATCAAAAATATACCTTAAATATACCATTTACTCTGTATTCAACTATGTATAAAACTGGCGTTCGCACTGCGTATGGATTTTACGCAGCATGTTCAAAGCGTTCTTTTTTTATTGAGAAACTAAGCGGAATCGTTGCATTTAAAGCCGGAAGATATTTCATTAATGTGGGATTCGGTGAATTTTTTTTTAGGTAACTGGTTCAGTGGAAGGTTGCAACGCAGATCCGGTGATCAAGATTCCGATCACAATTGGTACTTATCCAATTCGGGATGTTGTTACTTGCCAGAACGGCCGAAGGACCATCGGCACCAGCCATTCCAGATCAGAACAACGGTGGCGACCAGTTTATCCAACTGCTCCAGCATTCGAGGGTAACGTTTTTTGAACACATTTTTTCACTCTTAGACTCTTAGTCCCTCATTCTGCTTTTTATTCGCCTTATTTCCTACTGAAAAAAAAAAATGTTCATTTCAAATTTTTATTTCGAATAATTTCTTTTTCCTTATTTCAAAAGACGATCCACCAACCTACGAGGAACCAACAAAAAATGCCGACAACCAAGAGAGTGGCGACAATTTCCTAGGGGCAATTCACTTAAAAAGTGTATTACTTTTTTCACGTTGTATTACTTTTTCAGCACACTGTCAAAACTTTTCAACATTCTTGTGTATTCATTCTGGTAATATACGGAATTCACGGTAATCCGTGAATTTCATAGTATATTGCCGGATCTCCGTTAGAATACATACACACACAGCACGTCTGCGTTGACGGAGATCCTGTAATATAGTATGAAATTCACTGATTACCGTGAATTCCGTATATTACCAGAAATACCAACACAAAAATGTTGAAAAGTTTTGACAGTGCAGCGTTGTATTACTTTTGAGTGATTTGCCCTTGACAATTTCAAACCGAAATATCCAATGTTCAGATATTAAACATCTTATTCAATCAGAAATTAGACAATGTATTATCACAATGACAACAAAAACCAAACAATTTGAATATTTTCACTTATTGAATCTCATCGATTGCTAGCAGAATCTCCAAATGCATATTGTAACGACACACATTTGTGTACAAATATTGATTCAAGTGAATGAAAAAATGCAAACAACAACGCATTTTCGATGATCTTTGACTTCTTTGTTTTCTTTACGCTTTTGACGATAATCTGTTGATGGTTGCTGCCGGTTGCAATGTTATTGTATACATTCCATTATTTCGGATTGATGCGGACTTCATACAATCACATCATATGCCGCTCTATATTCATCGACAGACGACGCATCACATTCATACGTGCGGTCCCGCATAACGCATGGAAAATACGATGGAAGCAACATTAAAATACACAGACGTATAACACATACGATCACTTATCGATATGTTTGTGTACCGACTGGCAATAGATTTCGTGTGTATTGGTTGACGCAATCTATATTTACGCACATTTTTATACTATGATGCCACACAAACTAGTAGCAAACAACAGAAATCGCTCTTATGTATACACATGCACACATGCAAACATATGAAACTTGAACGTATCATCAATTTACTTTCTCTTATTCGCTGTCAGTTTGAGTTTTTCTTTTTTTGATTAAAGTCATGTTCAACCGACTTTCGAAAATAATCTAATTTTTCACTTGAAACTGGCATTCACAGCTTAGAACGCAGTTTGGAATTGATTATTTTGGGAAAGAACAGTTAAATCACCGAAAGAATAGTGAATTCTTCGAATTCGAAGTGAAATAAGTCATTTTAATGTGAAATAAATTGTTGTGTTTGAATTGAAAGTGAAACCTTCGAACGTGGGCTTAAAAAAAACACGAAAAATCTTCTTTTGTTAAGATAAAAAGTGAAACTATTTAACTATTTAATTAAAACTTACACTGTGTTTAACCAGATGCCTTGCGAAATTCCGACGAATATTACTAATACAAACGAAGTAACGAACTCTCGTACGCAGAACGCGTGACGAAAAACATCAAAATTCCACATGATAACTATCTGGTTAAACGTATAGACATTGGACAGCATTCTCTCGCTGTTCCTTCAATACAGTGTTAGTTCGAGTTTATATTTAGACATCCAAAGCTAAATTCTTGATTCGTTTTTCTTTATTTCTTGAATTCAACTTGATTCGAATAAAATTGGAACAGTTTTGATTTCAATTGATATATCATAATAATTTAAAAGTATTTGATGAAACAATAAAGAAACTCAAATTGATATTTCGAAAGAACGAAATCGATTCCACTTAAAGGAATAAAAAAAGGCCAAATTCAAAGCCAAACATCAATTTGAATCAAAATTAAATAAATTGCAACACTCAAAATGCCAACCACTTGTGTCGTTGAGTTCGAAAACAATCCAGAAAAAGTATTTTACGCGGGGCAACTTCTATGTGGAACTGTTCAACTCACTTTGACCGAAAAGAAGAACGTGCGTGGCATATATATTGAGATACGTGGTAAAGCCTATGCTTATTGGACCAGAGAAGAAGACAAAAAAACCGTAGAATACACCGGTAAAGAGACATATTTGGATAAACGAATTTATTTCGTTGGTGGAAAAGAAAGTGAGTGAGACCAAAATTGTCATTTCATTTAAAATAGTTAAAACAAAAAAGGGCACATTTCGTCTAATGTGCTCGCTTCACGAGCTTATGTCTATACTCCTTTTGCATTGCTTTTCAGTTTGTTCTCAAAAAATATTTTCTGCATTTCATGTTTTCATGTAGTGCTAAAAAATTATTTTGTAATCAAAACTGAGCAAATGATTTTTACATCAAATTTACAATGAAACAGCCTTTCTGATCATGAAAATAGTAAACAATACAGCGGTACCTGGGGACTAAGTGCAATGTGTCATACTTTCAACGTTTGAACTAACACAGACGCATACTTGTTACAGCAAATCATGTGCATGATTCTCTATTTCTCCAACCAGTCGCCAGGTGCCGCTTTATTGTTCTTGTTTGACGTTTCCTATCTATTTGTACAGACGATCAGAGAGGCTGACAATGAAATGAATGGTTTGGAGCGAAAATGTAATACAGAAAAGTTGAGCGGAAAAATGTCAAATGAAAAGGGATAGCTATATAGTTCACTATAGTTTACTATACAGTTTACTATATAGCTATCCCTTTTCTGCTCATTCATCATCGACATTTTTCCGCTCAACTCTTCTGTATTACATTTTCGCTCCAAACCATTCAAATGATATTTGAAGCTTTCTTCCATTAATTTGAAAAAAAAAACTCGTTGCTGTACTTTTTGCTCGGTTGTATCATGAATATCGTAAATTTACGTTGCAACGAATAAGAACGTTCAATTTTCGTTTCTTAAATCAATTAAATGATATTTGTTTCAATTGATTTTGCAAAAAAAAAAAAAAATCGTTGCTAATTTTCAGGTGACGTTTGTGTATCAGCCGGAAGTTATAATTATAATTTTGAATGTATGCTGCCGTCTAACCAGCCCACGTCGTTCGAAGGTGAAACCGGGTACATTCGATACACGGCTCGTGTTTGTCTTGAAATCCCACTATGTAATGATATAGAATTCAAAGTACCGTTCACTGTTATCAGAGCCATTAACTTGAATGACGATCCAACACTCAAAGTAATTCACTTCATTTGTTCGCTGCATCAATTGATCAACTTGATGTTTTCATTATTCTTTACAGGAGCCAGTCCTTGTTGAAAAATACAAAAAGTTCAACGCGTGTTTTCTACTGAGCTCTTGCTCATCGGACCCATTGCGAATCGTCGCTCGGACTCCAGTACGGTTTTACAGTTTCTGAGGCTTTATCATATTAACTAGCCGGTGACATTAGATATCACCATCTTCATTACAATCAGAGCTGGAAAAAACATACTATGTGGAAGCACGTTATTAACACCTCACATACAGTAGATGTACGACGTAAACAGCTACAGATACAAAATCCAAACAAAAAGAGTTATGTGATTACGTGCATACACACAGAGTGATTTTTCAAGCTTATTACAATCAGCCGAATCGTTTTTCACTGTCTTAATGATTTTATTTCTTCATTTGTTCTATTTGAAAGGTTGGAGGCTATACGCCCGGTCAGGTTATAAACTTGGAAATCGATGTTAAAAATAAAAGTGATCAGGACGTGTCGGAATTCACGGTAGAACTAATAAAGGTAAACGCATTTCATTCATAAAATATGTTATCATTTCAATTTTAATTCGCATCTACGAAATGTTTCTTTTTTCTGTCAGCAAATCGTTTATTACGAGAATAAGAACAGCTATGAAACAAAATACGAAGAGATATCGATAATTAAGCGAGATATTCTTGGCAGTGACGTAAACCAGGAGAAGATGTTTCGTGTCAACTTGGAAATTCCACCAATCCCACCAACTGATGAGGATGCAAGCAATATCGTCAAAGTTGGATACACGATACGCGTAAGTGTCACAAATTTTTGAATGATTTCACTGAAGATGAATTCATTTGAAAATTATTTGCAGATAACTGGGAAAAAGATAGGACGTCACAAAAATCTGGTGCTTTATCTTCCGATCATCATCGGCACTTTTCCAATTCTGGATGCAACACCACCGTATAATGGGCAATCTAACGGCTATCCGCAAACCAATAACGTAATTTCGCAACAGCCATCGGCTTCACTACTGCCAGACAAAAATAACCTCTCAACAGTGCCATATCCAGGCACCACTGCTCCACTCGCTTCGTCCGAATTCCCAGAAGACGGTAAAATTAAAATTATTACGTTCGTTTAGTGATTCTAATGCAATTTCTATTTTTTTTTTTTCATTAGATCGACCAACGTATGAGGAATCGATCAGAAATGTAAATAACCAAGAGGGTGGCGACAATTTCAAACCGAAATACCCAATGTACAGACGTCAAACCTCTTATTCAACCGGAAATTAGAAAATGACAACAACAAACATTCGAATATTTTCACTAATTGAATCTCAACAATTCCTAGCAGATTCTTCAATTTCATATTGTAAAGTGACACAAATTTGTGTACAAATATTGATTTAAGCGAATAAAAAAAATGCAAACAACAACAGGAGGTTGCAATGTTATTGTATACATTTCGTCATTTCGGATTGATGCGACTTCATACAATCACATCATATGCCGCTCTCTTTTCATCGACAGACAGCGTCTTTTAGACATTCACATCCATGCGTGCGGTGCCGCATAACGCATGGAAAATGCGATAGTAACAACATCAAAATATTCAAACACACAACATATACGATCAACAAACAATTTGAATATGTTCACATTTATTCAATGTTCATACACACCCACTTCTTACGCAGGTGGAGATTAGACAATGTGTTTACCTTAAGACCGATTTTAATGGACGGTCAATTTCTGACCAAATGACAGTTAAATTATCAATATATTTGATATGTATTCAACGATGCTACCTCAATATTGTGACACAACATTTCCTACATGATTTTTTTTAGAGTGAATAAAATATAACTAAAAATAAACCAATGATTGTTTTTACCTAATTATACTTAATTGATGAAATTTTTTATTCTTATTTACTGATATATTCACTCTCAAACTTGTTAAAAAGCCTTGAATTTTGTTTCCATGAAAAACTGATTTAAGTGAAAGTAGGTGAATAAAATAAAAACCTTTGATGATTTTTGACGTCATATTTTCTTTTCTTTTTTTTTTCATTCATTACATTTTCAACGATCATCTGTTAATATTGTTGCTGCCGGCTGCAATGTTATTATTTACATGTCGTCATTTCAGATTGATGCGACTTAATACAATCACATCATATGCCGCATTATATTTATCGACAGATAGCGTCTGTCAGACGCATCACATTCACATCCATACGTGCGGTGCCGTGTAACGCATGGCAAAATTGATCGCAACAACATCAAAATACACATACGATCACTTATCGATATGTTTGTACCGACTGACAATTGATTTTGTGTGTATTGGATGACGCAATCTATCTTTCCGCTTATGTTTATACTATGATGCCACACAAACTAGTAGCAAACAACAGAAATCGCTCTTATGTATACACATGCACACATACAAACATATGAAACTTGAACGTATCATCAATTTACTTTCTCTTATTCGCTGTCAGTTTGAGTTTTTCTTTTTTTGATTAAATTCATGTTCAATTGACTTTCGAAAATAATCTAATTTTGCACTTGAAACTGGCATTTACAGCTTAGAACACAGTTTGGAATTGATTATTTTGGGAAAGAACAGTTTAATCGCAGAAAGAATTTGATAATTCGAAGTGAAATAAGTCATTTTAAAGTGCAATAAATGGTTGTGTTTGATATGCTCCAAAGCAATAAATTGAGAGTTATTTGACAGATTGTGAAACATTTTTTTTTTGTTTCCAGAGAAGAAGATCAAAAAAAGAAACTTTTTGATTCAAATTTATTCTTCATTTGAAGTCAAACATCGATTTAAATCAAAATTAAATAAATTGCAACACCCAAAATGCCAACCACTTGTATCGTTGACTTTGAGAACAATCCAGAAAAAGTCATTTACGCTGGTCAACTTCTACGTGGAACCGTTCAACTCACTTTGACCGAAGAGAAGAACGTGCGCGGTGTATTCATTCAAATACGTGGCGAAGCCTATGCTCATTGGAGCAAAAAAAAGGGCAAAAGAACCAAAAATTACACTGGTGAAGAGATATATTTGGATGAAAAAACGTATTTTGTCGGTGGAAGTGAAGGTAAGTATAATGTCAAAGTTGTCATTTCATTTTCAAATTACCTTGTTATCTTCGGTTTTGATGCGGCATCATAGGCATCAGTGATGCCTATGTAGAAATTACTATAATTGTCTCTATGTGATATGGATTAAAAATCACGGCTTATTTTTCAGGTGAAGTTCGAATATCACCTGGGACGTACAATTACACATTCCAATGTTTGCTGCCGGCTGGACTGCCATCATCCATAGAAGGCAAATTTGGACACATAAGATATACGGCCAACGTAGTGCTTGACATTCCAATGTGGGTCAACAAAAAATTTGTCAATCCATTCACCGTAATTAAGCCAATCAACTTGAATGATGATCGAATACTACGGGTAAAGTTTTTTTTTAGTTTTTTTTTGTTTGCATTTCAGTATTTCATTCGCTTAAATTAGTTTTTGTCGACTAAATTTCTATGGGTGAGATTGAGAGTGGAGTATGTTTTTTCTTCGATTTATATTTTTGAAAAGGCGAGTATGTTTTCTGATGATTCTGTTGGCGTTAAAGTAGAGTATGTTGTAGTACCGTCTAGCCTCCGCGGTCTTCATGGTTTTCGCGCAAATGATAAAAGATAACAACATAGTGTCTTCGGCAAAGTTGTAGTACTTGAGGTCTTCTATAACTAAGCTGAAGAAAGTTATCTCTTATCTCTTATCAGTTGCGCGCAAATCGCGCACATAAAAAAGCAAATTTTATATAGAACTTTTTTTTTCTTATCATTTTTCGCGCTTTTCACGGAACTGATAAGAGATAAGAGAAAACTGTCTTCAGCGATGTTATGTTACCGTGAAAAACCGCGAGGACCCGCTAAAAACGAACATACTCGCTTTTAACCATTTTTAAGTCGACAGAAACTTGCTCTTCTCTTTCGTAACAAAGTCAATCAAACATACACTACTCTCAATCTCACCCATAGATTTATCGATGTTTCAAGAGTTTGATTCTATCGAAATCATTTCATAAAATTCCATCATGTTTTTTTTCTCTGCAGGAACCAATCAGCAAAGCGATGCGAAAAACTTTTCTAAAATGTTGTTGCTGTGCAACCGATGCATTGGAGATCGTAGTCCGTGTTCCAGTCGGTGGTTATACGCCAGGCCAATTTGTTAATCTGGAAATTGAAGTGAAAAATAAAAGCAATGAACCGGTGTCTGAGTTCACAGTGGAACTGGTACAGGTATGAACGAACGTATTTTGTTTTTTATTTTATTTTTTACGGTATGAAAATACAAATTGGCTTCACAAAGTAAAGTTAGATTATATTATTGGAGTTTTACTACGAATAATTGTTAATAAAATTAAATTCACAATCAAAATGTAGAAAATCACGCACTACGCCAATAACAGCCGAAGTACACGGTATCAAGAAGTATCGGAAGAGGTTGGCACAACAAGTGGCTGCGACACTTTTCAGAATAAAAATCTTCGGGTAAATTTCGAAATTCCACCGGTTCCTCCAACCGACTGCGTATCGAGCAATATTATCCATATTGAATATGCAATTCATGTGAGTAAACAATTGAATGAAGTCAATACGATTACCTTGTACCTAAAAATATAGGATTGATTGAATAGATTTGAAATTGCAATTTAATCCTTGAGTTATTTGATTAAAATCCATTTAATTGCAAATTTTTTTTTAATTTTTCTGCAGATAACCGGTTCAGTAGGATTTTGTCATGGTGATCCCGTGATTAAAATTCCGATCAAGATTGGTACTTATCCGATTCAGGATGGTGCACATGGCAATACAGTCGCAGGAACATCAAATGTTGTTGTAATACCACAACCAACGGCTCCAGTCATTCCAGATAATCAAACTGCGTCAATTTATCCAACTGCTCTGGGATTCCAAGGTAACGTTTCTTGAAACGATTTTTTTCACTCTTAATAAGAGTCTTTTATTCTGTTTCTTATTGGTCTCATTCTATTTGCTCTACCTTCCCTACTGAAGAGAGAGAGAGGTTCAGTGGATATTTTCATTTTGAATAAATGTAATAATTTTATACTTTTTCCTTCTTTCAAAAGACGATCCACCAACCTATGAGGAAGCAACAAGAAATGACAATAACGAAGTGGATGGTGACAATTTCAAACCGAAATATCCAATGTTCAGACGTCAAACGTCTTATTCAATTGGAAATTAGACAATGAAACACGATCTATTATTTCTTTCACTCGTCGTAATTATTCGCACTTGCTGTTGCAGAAGAATCAATCTAGTTAGTCTGAGACGATAATTCAATTCGTTTACTTTTACTATAAACAACCCTTTTATTATTATATGTCGAATAATGTCTTTCTATTTCTTAAGTTGGTTGAATGTTATTGTTCGATATTATTTGGTTTTTCTATTTTTATGAATGTTTTGGGATAAAATTTTATACTTCATGTGAACGAAAAATATAAATATATAAGACCATTATTTTTGCATTTTTTTTTACTGATGAAGTGTTAGGTGACGTCCTGTTTGAAGTCCTTGAAAATGGATCAGAACGGTGAATGATAAATTGATTCTTCTCAATGATATTTTCAATAATTTCTTGAATTTTCGATCTTTTGAAGAAATAATTGATTTTTTCATGAGATTCAATTGAACACCTACGTCGTGTGTAATTATTCCAGGTTTCAAATATTGATTCAAGGCTATTTTGGTATCATTCCGATTCATCCATGACCATATTTCAAGAGTAAGAACAATGAAACTAGTTTTTTTACTTTTCCGTACACAACGTGTCAAGGGAAAGTATAGGAATTGGTCCCGAAAACTTTTTTCGCAAAATTAGCTTAGATCATCATAAAAACTCATGAAACGCGTAGAAAACCACTTTTTGAGACACTTTTCCGTTCGTGTGCCGTCGTTGTCGTTGTCGTCGTCGTAGCTGTTTGTTAACACGATAACTCAAAAATTAATTGAGATAATCAAAATCTGGAAATGCCAAAAGTTTTGTATTTGAAAAACTTAGTTTAAGTTCGAAGATGAGCCATTTTCGATTTGATCCTGGGGTACTTGCCCTAAGAAAAACCTCAAAAAATTGACACTTTTGTATGGGAGGTACCTGTAAATCGACTCCGATTGGCTTCAAACTTTCTGAGGTTTCATTTTTTGGAGAAAAAATAAGATTCTGAAAGTTTCATGTTGATCGCATTTGCAGATTTGATTTTTTGCCCTCAAATTTTGTCGACATTTTCTTTGCAAAATACTTTCTGGGATTTCATTTTTTGGGAGAAAATTAAGATTCTGAAATTTTGAAACCAATCGGAATCGATTTACAGGTACCTCCCATACAAACTTTTTGAAATTTTGACTAAAATTACCGATTTTTGGACAATTTTGTATGGGAGGTACCCGTTAATCGATTCTGATTGGCTTCAAACTTTCTGAGGTTTCATTTTTTGAAGAAAAAATAAGATTCTGAAAGTTTCATGTTGATCCCATTTGCAGAATCTTGATTTTTTGTCCTCAATTTTTGTGAAAATTCTCTTGGAAAAAATTGAGGGCCAAAAACCAAACTTCTGCAAATGCGATCAACATGAAACTTTCAGAATCTTATTTTTTCTCCAAAAAATGAAACCTCAGAAAGTTTGAAGTCAATAAGAATCGGTTTACGGGTACCTCTCATACAAAATTGTCGAAGTTTTAGTTAAAGTGACCGATTTTTCACTTTATTTTCATTATTATATTTTCACTGCCTTTATTTCTACAGATTTACATTTTCGATATGTTATTAATATGTTATTGCCCGACATATTTATTATTATGTTATGTTGGGATTTTTTTTATCTTAATAACGTTATTAAGATTCAGCATAATAATAACATAATATGTTATGCGTTATATCGGGTGTTATCTTAATAAATCCTAAGATTCGGCGGTAATAACATTTTATCAACTATAATAATAACATATTATTAAGATGGATTTATTAACTCAATTAATAACATATTATTAAGATGCAATCTTAATAACGCTTTTTTGGCGCATTCTTTTCCCTAGGTGGAGAGAAAAAAAGCACTGGATTTTTTTTCACTACGGGTGTACAGTGTATGGTGTACGCACCTATAACAATGCAGACAAAATATGGTAAATTGATCCTTTCAAGGTCGGGACTGGCGATTTCCTAAACTTAATGGTTAAGTTCAATACATGATAATTCCGTTTCAAAGAATCATTTTAATTTCATTGCAACGGTGCAAAAGTTCATGTGTGTACTCTGCAGTGAAAAAACAACTTATCAGTGCTCCGGTGAAAAAAATGCGCGAAAAAAGCGTTATTAAGATTGTATCTTAATAATATGTTATTATTATAGTTAATAAAATGTTATTACCGCCGAATCTTAGGATTTATTAAGATAACACCCGATATAACGCATAACATATTATGTTATTATTATGCTGAATCTTAATAACGTTATTATTATGTTATGTTGGACCAATATATCGGCCGTTATTATTATGTTATTAAGTATAGTTAATAATATGTTATTGTCTGTAAATCTGTATTTATTTCAAGAAAATTCACAAAAAATAACCAAAAGTACCTACGGACAACTCAGGCCAACGGTACGGAAAAGTTCGGGATTACCAATGTAATTCTTTTTATATTGATAATTAAGCTTGAATGAAATTTTTCCAACACTTTTTGTCACAAAGATCATTCAGCATTCACATTGGTGTGACAACGCTATTTTTTTCATTATTTTTCTGTACATTATACGCTTCGTATATGTTTTATCGCATTTAGATTATACTCATTAATCGTATTTTGCAGCCATTAAATTGAATTGACAAGAGTGTCCATAATGAGAGTGTTAAAAAGTGAAATGTGCCGGAAAATTGACTGGAAAATGCACGAAATGACTATTTTTGGATTTCGAGAGATTATTTATTTACATTTATTTAGTCAACATCATAATTACTAGGATTTCTGGCTCATTGCTCATGCAGCTCCTTTTTGTTACGTATGTACGTATGATCGCACTCATAACTCGAATATGTATCATCAAACATATCAAATCAATGTACCGAAATCAATTATTTCTTCACTGTCGCTCCGACGAAGATTGCCTTTCGGTGATTCTATATTCGTGCGGCCTACTGACAATTGAGTAATTGAAATTTCGTCAAAAAAAAATGAAAAAAACGTTCAAAATTTTCATAAAATCGTCCAAAAAATATTACAAAAAATCCTACATTTTTTTTTTGTCGATTTTCTCATTTTTCGGGATGCTTTATAAATTTAATTTTATAATTCAAAAATTATAAAAACGTCCAAATCTGTTTTCGTCTCCTATTCTGAAATTCAAATTTTTTCTAAAATATTCCGGAAATTGCACAAAATATTCGGTCAGGCGAGATCGAAAGCAATTGCAATTACCTACAAATTGAGGTATTTATTATTCCAATAGCTCCAACCAATTCCGAAAAAGGCACGAATTTTTTTTTTAAATCAAATTAAAACCATACAATTCTTTCTATTTACCATTTGTTTCTTGACTCTCTGTGAAGAAAAGTTAGGCTTTTGTCATGAATCAAAATTCATTTTTTGACAAATTTTGGGAGATTTTCTCAATATTTTGGACGAATTTTAAAATATTTTTGGACAAAATCCGAATTTCAGAATAGGAGATGAAAACAGATTTGGACGTTTTCATAATATTTTTTTTTTTCGAAACAGCCAAAAACAAGACCGCAGATTGTCGCTTCGCTCCGCTCTGCGTTTTTGAAGCTTGTAAATTCAAGGGGTTTAATTAAATTTGATGTTTAACATCAAATTATTATCGTAAGCACTACATGGAATGTAGATTTATTCATAGTATACTTTTTGTTCAACGGACGTAATATTTTCTGTAGACGACAAAGTTAACTGAGTGATGTTGGAAATGTATGTTTCACAAGTTTTTGTCAATCATTATAATATTGTTGATAGTAATTTAAAAAAATTATATGATAAAATCGTATTCTTCAATTATTGTTTTAATGTACGTTCAACTGATGATGAACGGTCATCATATATTATTTCACATTGGCAACGAAAAAAGTGTCAAATTTTTTTTTTGAGTTATCTCATGATTGAATTACGTTTACATGATATTATGTCAAAGTAATTGCATCAAAAAGAAGTAATTGTATTGGTAATTGCAAGAAAAATGTAGTAATTGCTGATCAACAATTACTTTCGCAACCACTTTTTTCGTAGCAATTACCTATGCAATTACTTTTTTATCGTGCAATTATTGCTAAATTTTGCATATACTATTTTGAGTGATTTGACCCTCGGCGTAATTGCTTCATTTGAAATAAAACATATGGATATTAAAATGAATTAGTTTACGGTCCAAAAAAATGGCCAAAAAAGACTTAAAAATTTCTCGTTAAAAGAAAATCACTACAGTAGCCTACATTCCATGTAGTGCTAAAAAGAGAAAATCGTCCAAAAATTTTGGGATTTTTTGTAAAAAAATTGGACGATTCTTTCATTTTACTGGACGATTTCTGAAGCAACCAATATCTAATATCTCTTTTAACAACCGTGTAAAAATTTGGCAATAAATCCCAATTGTTTCCTACACCTTTTTTGCACATAACATTAACGTTTGAAAACTCATTGAAATTCGCAAACATCAGATGGTATATAAAGGTGAGTCCAACGTTTTTAATCGAGTCAATTTAAATTCGGAAGCTGAACTAAGTGGTAGAAGTGAATTCAACAAAATAATGAAAATTTTCCACAGTTCCATTGTGTTGGTGTTGGTGTTGGTGTTGGGTACAGCTACGGCTGTCCCGAAAGAAATTGAACAAGTTGTATTTCCATCAGTGGGTCAAGGCGGCTTTGGAAATCAACCAACGAATCAATTCGGAAGCTATGGAAATCAACCAACGAATCAATTTGGAAGCTATGGAAATCAACCAATGCGCCAAGCTGGTGGCGGCGGAACTCCATCAGTTGGTCAAGCTGGCTATGGAAATCAACCAACGAATCAATTCGGAAGCTATGGAAATCAACCAACGAATCAATTCGGAAGCTATGGAAATCAACCAACGAATCAATTTGGAAGCTATGGAAATCAACCAATGGGCCAATTTGGAGGGTATGGAACTCAAGGCGGCTATCAGAGTGGCTATCAGGGAGGTTTTGGAGGTTCGCATACAGATTTAGACTAAATTCACGTAATTTTTAATGATTATATTAATAATTAATAATATAGGTGTACAAAGAAGTTGGCCAAGTGGTTCGCAGCGTGGTTCGCAGGGAGGCTCTGGCTGGCAACCAAAATTTGCGTATTGAGCGTTTGACAGCTGAACACAAGCAAAACGTAACATACAAAACAAATGTAACCAGACTGTGTGGTCAATGGCCACTGGAAATTGAGTTGATTGAAAAAGATTAAAATATAAATGACATGAATTATTTTCTACTTATTATTCATTTAGAAAAGAATTGGGTTAAATATTACATTTGAGCATTCATTATTCTAAAATATGTTCATTCACATGCTTTGTGAGTATGTTGGATATGAAAAAAAAGTCAAGTGTGGAATGATGACCATCGTTTCATTCGGTTTTCTAAATTTCCCTTAGTTTCACTAGCAGTTTTCAACATTTCCTCGTTATCCAATTTCAAATCCATTTCTGCGCATGAGTCAGCAGAATCTTTATTTGTGTTGGTGGAAACGTTTTTCCACAAAACGGTCAATCGTTGATGACTTCATTGCCGCAACTCACTTGTTGTGCCGATACTTCAGTTTGATGCGTGCAGTGCGTTGTTTTCAGTGGTCAACGGAACAACACTTTTAGGCTCTCATTTAGAAACGTAATTGATTTACCAAATACAGCACGCAATACCATTTTATTATGATGGTTGTTGAACTTCGTTGAGGTGAAAAAATAATTATCAAGACTTTTGCTGCAATCGAGTGAAAAGGAACATTTCCACGAAAAGCCACCGCTTTTGTACACTAAGATCCAATCAACTTCGAACATAAACACAAAAGTTCAGTTCAACTGACAGCTTTTGAAGGAAAATTTGTACTAATCCATTCTCAGTTCTACCTAAAATTGATGGAAACTACGCAGTTTTTTTTTTTATTAAAGTAGTAAAATGCCAACCGCACGGCCAAATAGCTGCTGTAATTGGATGTACATTGGAAGAACGCTCGGTTGGATGGGAATCATTACAAGTATATATCCAACATATTTTGGACTCACAATGATTATTTGGTGCGGTAAGTTTTATCAATCTGTTCGTTTCTACACTTCATTGAAATATTTTTCGCACAATCGCTTTTCAGTCATTGGCATTTCAATGTCCAGTCTTTGGCTCTATGGAATTACAAAGGTATTTTCAAATCAAAATTCGTTTCATTCTCAAATTATTTTTCGAAAATCACAAACAAAAACAACGAACCAGTATAGAACTAAGTTCTTTCCATTTCCAAATTCCATTAGAAACAAAGTGTGCTTATGCTGGTGCCCCTACTATATTGGGCCTTTATTCAAACCGTTTTCATGTTAAAATTGACCATAACCGAGATAGTATCATTTGTTCGTGAAGAGAGACTAAAATATGCAAACAAAGAGAACTTTGAGAATTATTTTACGACAATTTATGGAGTAATGCTGTACACCATAGCAGGTAACAATTTTGATGCCTTGATAAATGTGTTGATATTCATCGTACATTTGAAAGACATTCAATTTTTCTTCTCATCACATTTTAGCCTGTTTTCCATTCATTTATTTCATTTTCTTATAGCATACTTTGTGATCTTTTTCATCCTTGCTGTTGTCAGCTTCGTCAAAATCCGACAAATCATTGAACAATTGGAGATCCAAGCGAGAAGGATTTCTTTCATACACATCGAAAGTGTAAAAAATAATCATCAGCGATTGCATTAACAAAGAAAATTTGAATAAGATATTTAAAAACAAAATACAGTTGCGAAATATATGCCTATCACACACACCACTAGATACATATCAAACAAAAATATCTCGGTTTTGTTTAAGAAAATGAAAATATTGTCTTAATTTTTATTCTCTGTTCGAATGAAACTAAGGTTCATTGTGAAATGTTCACACTGTGAAAGCTGAAATGTTATTAAAAATATAGAAAAAGTAATTGAAATGAGTGACTTTTCCCTCGGCAGTGTGTCGTTTGTTGTATATACTTATACATCCCTATCGCTATGCATTTTTATAACGTACTATCACATGCATTAGTTTATTTCGTCGCATACTTTCGCGTTCCTGTCTCTATCCCAAAATCCGACCTGGGCAGTTTATTCGTTCATGGATTCGTTTATTTCGTCGTATACTTTCGATTGATCGCTTCGGTTTCTAAATCTGACTTGGCTTTAGTTCTGTATTTTTGAATTGAAATATTTTTTCAACTTGATCCATTGTTTCGAAGAGAATTGTGATTATGTCGATGGTGCACTTAGCAATCTGCTGTTTTGGAATCCTTCCCTATATTTTATTTTTAAAAAAAATCATATTAGAACACTAAAGAAAATGAGTGGATCATAAAATCTTACTTTGGACTAAATTATCAATGGCTACTGTATTTGCAGCAGCATTTGCATTGTTTCGATGTGTGACAGTGTCGCGATGTTGCGTATTACTTGCATGGCTTTTATTGGAAACTGAAAACATCGAATTACACAGTTTGCATTTTGCCTAGGGGGATTTAACTACGTGAAAACTTGTAAAAAAATGATATAAACGTGCACGAAATTGTTACATTCACCAGAGAACTTGCATGATTCCACTCAGTTGACAAGTTCCGTATTAAAACAACTTGTACGAGTTCGTGTGCAAACATGAAGCTGGACGACACACATCAGTCGTTCCATTTATTATATCTGGATTAACTCTTTCTTCCAACGCTTTCTCCAGCTCTTTAAAAATATTTCCTTTGTCCATTTTATAATTATATAAATCTTTGAACTTTTTGAAAGGATGTGAAAAATCTTTATACACGTAAACAACCGATTTTTAGTTTGAAAGGCGTTTTAGTTGTCAAATAACAACTTGAAAAACGCGCAAAACCATAAACAAACTTGTGTAAACTTGTGACCGTGCGCGTCAGTACGTACAACGAACGCGTCGAACTTCCGCGAATCAAGCAAACTAGCAGAAAACATGCTGCACTCGTAAGAGTTAAATTCCCCTAGCATTTTGCTTTTTCTTTTTCATCCTCAACCTCTTCAATCCAATCATATAAATTTAACCATTCTTTATTAAATTTGCACTTTCCTGACATCTTAGAACATATTTCGGATTTGTTTCAAAGTTCTATTGTTCTTCACGTTCTGACGAATTGGTTATATTTGAAAATTGAATTTCACCATTGAAATGTCTAATGTATTTTGACTTGGGTTTACAAACGTTTCGACAAATACCGTAAATGGTGTTATAAAAACGTTGTTTTTCTGTAGTGTTTTTTTTTTGACAGTCAAAAATACCGCAGAAATAACGATAAAAAACGAAAAAAAACGTTTTTTGGGCGTTATATAACGTCTCTGTAAAAAAACGTTTTTAGGAAACACTGAAAAAAATAACGCGTTTTTAAACCCTAATTTTGACAGTACGTATTACGTTTGCGACAACTTTATATCGTAATTCAGCATTTCATAATTGCTGAATTTCGTATGTTTTCAATTACGCTGATGTCGTATAAGTTGCAAATGAAAAAATTAAAAAGATTTCAAAAGTAATTTTTTTATTAAAAAAAAACTGAGATTCTGCTTACTTTTAAAAAAAGATGGGAAAAGATAACTTTTTGAACGGAAAGATAATTTTATGGTCAAAGAGGAGATGAGATGACAGACGCCAAAAAAAGATGACTGTCATCCTGAAAAGATGACTTCTGGGAGCATTATGAATAGGTCATTTTGAGCGTAAAGTTTGACAGATACATTGCAAAATACTTCCACCTTGCAGATTGCGCCAAACCAAACGTCATTCTAGTCATTTTTCTCATTGAGAGCAAAGTCATTGGAATTGAATTCTTCGTTGATGAATGAATAATTTCATTCGTAGTACTACTCTTGAACTTGTTTCAATCAATGTAAGATAAGAAATGAGTTGATAATTTGATAAAAAAACGTTTGAATCATCATCACCAAACTTAAGCTGCGACTCAGCTTCTTTTAATCAGGGAACAGTATTTACACTCTTCTCAAATGAGCACGCAAATAAGCGTCTCAAAAGAGGAGCAAACTACAAAATATTGCCATATTTCTCACTAGACGATAGTTAACTTCATGAAAGATTAATTCGGAAGAATCTCTTTTAAGAGACTATTTTACAAAACTCTTTCGAGTGCGCATTCCCTGAGAAATCGTTCCCTGCTCTTAATAACTCAAACATTTTTATATAAGCTTATCACCATCTGAGTTATCGTTTCCAATGAAATGAAATTTTAAAAAAAACGTATTTTTCCACTCCTACATTTATCATACTGCAGTGACGAATTGTTTGTGATTCAAATGTGTGAATAATGTTGCTACAATTCATTTTGTTCTTTAGTTACTTTATTCAGCTGGCGATGGATGACATCTGCTTGTTTGTTTGAACGAAATATTCTATTTTTTCCAACATTCTTTGTCATAACAAAAAGTGTATAAATACATTTGAAAGTAAACCTAAATGGAACTCGCGATAGCTTTTGTGTGCTTGTTCTTCATACTGAGTGAAGTTACTCCTTTAGCCTGGTTCGATCATAATTGTTTTGAATTGTGTGAAAATTCCGAATTCATTAAATTGGCTTGCACAACACATGAATCGCCAGCATGTGCGAAAAACAAAACTGAAGATCGGAATGTGAAGTTAATCAAGTATAACTGTACGGTGAATATGAGCAACATTGAATTCGAATTCGATAAACTGCACCGATTTGTCAATTTGGAAGAAATTGACGTTTCATCTCTAGGAATTAAAAAAATGATGTGCAAAGGAGACTCCATGATGTTTGAAATGATTATAAAAAGTTTTAATGCTTCAAAAAATGCTCTAGACAGAATCCCAACGCAGATTTTCGGGCATATGCCAAAACTAATTTCTGTCGATCTTTCATTAAACAGCATTTCCACCGTTGATGAAAATGACTTTAATAAAAATCCTTTACTGAAGAAATTGGATTTAAAATATAATCAAATCAGCAGGCTTGGCATTCATCCTTTTTCATCGCTCTATAACCTGGACATGTTAGATTTGAGCAATAACATGATGAAAGTGATAGACGACAACGATTTGTTTAGAAACAACACAAAAATGAAGCTGTTTAACTTGATTGGCAATCCAATGGAACGCTTTAGTTTCAGCATATTGACGTCAGTAGCGAATGTTGTTGTGCATCTTCCCTTGGAAATTAAGGAACTGAGTATGAGTTGCAGCAACACGGCAAATATGAAAGATTCGATGTGCCACTCGTCAACGGCTCTCCGTAATGCAGAACATTTGAACAATCTTGAGATATTCAATGCTTCCGGTAATGATTGGGAAAATATGAGAAACATATTAGAAAGACTTAATGCAACACTGATCAAATTATTGGATCTTTCGAAGAATCACATTAAAGAATTGGATGCTAGCATTTTGAAGCATTTTCCTGAACTAGAGCATCTCAATCTAAGCCATGCAAATATATTCAATATTACAACCGACGCCTTTCATAGCCAATCCCAGTTGTTATCGCTTGATCTTTCCTATAACCACCTAACAGAAGTGAATTTCGATATAGTTTCCAAAGCCATCAGCTCACTGAATTTGGAGGGAAACAAATTGATCAAAATCAACGACAAGATTTCTCCGTTTAAGTATCCCAAACTCGATCGACTTGCAATCAACAAGAATCGATTCAACTGCATTGCACTGAAAGAATTCCTTGGCTCGTGGCTTGAAAAGGAGAACTTTCAATTGGTCAACAACTCAACTCATGATGTCAATATTCACGGTGTTGACTGCGATCCTACGGGAGGTACGACAGCATTAAAACCTAATGGTAAAGAAGCTAATGAATCCACAATTTCGGGAACAACATCATACATTTTTATCAGCGTTGCAATTGGTTTCATCGTGATAATCGTAATCATAGTTGTTTGTTGTCGAAGAAATTTTTGTTCTTCAAAAATGATCAACATGCAAACAGCAGAAAGACCTAAATGGAATAGTCCAATTCCAAGCCAAGCTACAACTACTGAAAGTTTCATTCAATTGAATACACTAACTGAATTGCCATTTGACAATGAAAAGGAAAAAGATTACGCAGAGATCAATCTAAATCAACCATATGATGGCTATGAATACAGTATGCCAAGTGATGCGTTATCAACCCAACAACGGCCACAGTCAACGAGGTCATCGCATGTATACGATCTTCCCTATGGATATCAACTATATTCCACCGTGAACAAACACAAGTCCAGCAAATCGGTTCGCTGACTCTTGATTATAAGTGCCAGTGTTAAAGTACACGTTGGACAAAAACCCTAAAATATATGTGATTTTTCTATTTTAATTGAAACAGAAATTGAAACTGTTCATGTTAAATTAGTTTTAGTATTAAACGCTTCCCATGTACTAAAATTTTATTATTATGACTAAGGCTAACAAAAATATTTATTTAAATATTTTGGGCGATTTCGTTTTAAATAAATATTATATTTATTTTTAAATATTTCAGGATTTTTAGAATTTTTCTTCAATTTTTTTAGGGTTTTGCGATTTTTATGTGAAAATTTTCATATATTTTCCGGAAGAACAAACAATTTTGACTCCAAATTTTTGGTCCATAAAATAATTTTTTTTTTATTTTCAATTTTTTATCTTATTGAAAAATTTTCGTAAATATTTTGGCGATTTTTAGCCCTTTTGTAAATATTTCGGACATTTTTCATAAATATTTACGTAAATATTTCCATGGTTTTATCGTAAATATTAAATAAATATTTTGAAGGTTTTTCGTAAATATTTTTGTTAGCCTTATTGATAGATTGAAATTCATTCGCAGTTTCAATTTGTAGTTTTTTTTAATTATTTATCTGTCCATTGTGAAGTGGACTCATGAGTGCATTTATTATTTGAATAAACTTAGGAAGAAAAAATACAAAAATAGAATTGCTGATATTAATATACTGTTTGAAGGTTTCTTTAATAAATTACTTAAAATTTCATACAACCACAAAGAGAATATGACATTAATATAACATCTAACTCCATCTAGAACTCTTTCCAGTAGTTGTGTTTTAGTG